TGTATATCACTGACTGAAGAATTGAGCTTTTCCCTAGCGACGCCCAACGCAGTGCCTTTGTTCTACAAGCCATCAGTCGATAGCAAACAAGGTAGGAAAACACTCCTGTGCAAAAAGAATTTAGATGCGAATATGATATTCTGTTGGACACGTTTTAATCTTCCTGTGAAAAAAAATAGTGTACGATAAGAATACGAACATAAAATAATGAGAATAAATATTGATTGTGTTATATTTCTATGAAGAAAAAATAGCTCCATGTGTTAAAATAAACAACCGGCAAGAAAGCAGGCACCACCCACTCCTGCTAAACCCGTTATGACACTTGTAGGTGTTACTCGGCGCAAGGATATTAAAATTCCCATTGGTCCCATCACATGCTGGAGTAAAAATCACAATGTTAACTTATAAAACAAGGAAAAGCAAAAATAAGCAAGATTAGTAAATAGGTAAAAAAGTTGGCATTGTGATTTCGACTACAGCCTCAGCTTAACTGAGTTCATCGACGATTTATGCTTCCCAGATCAATCCCGTGACGGGTGATTGTTAATAGCATTGGTAGATGGAAAACTAGAGCAAGGCAAAACGAAGGACCCGAATGCTGTAGTGGTGAGCGCGTTAGTCCAGGAATAGCGATGTTGTTGAAGAATGGAGAAATTCTTATTGCTAAGTTTAACTCATGTGTAGCTTATCAAAGGGTTTAGGTGTCAAGGAGTGATCTCATCCACTCCAGTACCTTTCCCTATCGCTTCTACTTCGTAAAAATCAACAGTATTGGCAAAACCGACGAAAACGAGGTGAACTGGCGACCTGTACTCTCTCGATACTTCGGTGTATTTTGTTACTGTAAAGATATCGAACCTGAAATTCCGCATCCCGCATTAACTCGCATGGATTCTTTTCACAAAATGTCGTCATAAATGCTGTTGAGTACGAGTCCAAATATGAGAATGTGGACAGCAGACAATAGAGAGATGAGATGATAGCTGTCCATGCTGTGTAAACTTTCACATGTGTGCAATAACACTTTTCATCTGGTTTCAATTAATTTTGAATTTCGGTTTCTGACAGATAATGTGGGAGCAGGAGCTTTTGTCTTTGTCTTACAAGCGCTCACATGCGTTTACTTACTGCGTTTTTATTGTCGAGACATTTTAAAATTTTACTCAATCCATAAATTATATCCTCACGAGCGGAATAGTGGAAGCAGGACTGCAGCTATTGCTTGAATGCCTGGAGGACCAACATTTCATTTGCTCAGAATCCATGAATCGAGCAGAATTTTTACATCTCCGAAACTTGTGGAGTTTGAAGCAATTCATGCCTAAAGGGGTTGCCTTAAGTTGTGTTCACAAAGGTCCTCGCGGTACTGACTCGAGCGGACCTCGTTAAGTTCTCATTTGACTCGCTCCCATGCAGGAGTAGCTCCTTGGGTTCACCTACACGAATTCAAAGAGCCTCATATATGGTCTACGATTTTCGCAAAACAGTCTAAACATCGAATCAGTGGTCTTCTTACTGTGTGCTCAATATTCACGTGGAATGCGGTCTCTAACGACTTCTTTCCACTGTGTCCTGCAGTCTCTAAAGCGCATGCTGTGTTCAGCCAAAATGATTTTCGACGTCTTAGTTTATCTACAGGGTCTATGCTCTGTGATCGTCGACACAGGTCAGAAATTTTCCTTCTTTTCTTCGCGTTAAACGAAATGCTCCTAGCATCACTCTCTCGGTGTTTGGTCACCTTGAACCTCATAAATTATCGAGTAACTCAAGCTGACATTAATAAATTCTTCATTTGTCTTCGTTGTGCGCCACAGGTGCTAGGTGCTAGCAGCTTGGTCTACGAACACGGACATCAACGTGCTCTCGCATGAAACCTCTTATTTTCGAATCTCAATAGTGATAACTTGGTCAAGCGTAACCTGTGTCGGTCGTTGTGTTAAGTTTAGTCAGTTTCGAGACGGAGCATCGCGGATACACTCCCAAGAGCAGCTCCCAGTCGTGATGTGGAAAGCACCAACGATCTCGTCATTATTAGGAAACAACTAAGTTCGACCGCCCATAAAACTATTCACGTGAATTGAGAGTCTAATGTTTTTGGGACAAGGCATTCCTTTTAGATCATTTGAATCTTCTCGCGGTTGATGAAAGTCGTACCCAATCAAGTATTCCCTATAATCTTCAGATAGCTAGACAAGACCTCAGCAGAGGCATATTTCCTTTAAAAGTATTATTGTTCTCTCCCCTACTGGAAAGGAAAAAAGCATAAAAAGTTCTATAACAACCACAATGAATCTGAGACATTTGCAATATTTGGAAGACAGGCTACTTTCGGGTAAACCGTTAGCGTAAAAAATTGGTCAAGGAAAGGCAAAGCAAGGGCCTTTGTGGTGCAATAAGTAACACATGAGCCTCGGAAAGGGTAATCGCGGGTTCGAATCTGACCTCGTCTGAGTTTTGCAAATGTCTCAGCTTCACTGTGGTTGTACTTCACATTATACTCTACTGTGAAAAGAAAAGCAATAGGCATTAAGTAAAAAGCTGTACATTGTTTCACAACAATTCGCTAAATTATGTGAGTGGAACGTCTGAAATGTCTGAACAATTACAGAATGTGTAACAAGGATTTGTCAGTAGAAAAGTTTCAATAATGTTGTACGGTAAAGCTTGAAACATTATTCCAGGCGAACACTATAGAATCAGGACAGAATGGGTTATAAAACTGAGCCTCGTCAAGTGTACCAGCGTATCACGGCCAACAACCTACTCTTTCAAGAGCCACAACAAGTGCAACAGCCAACTCCTCCTAGCAAACTGCTGCTGCGAACAACTTGGGAGAACTCGTAGCTTTCAAGGCTTCGAAGTTCTAAGCTACTTAAGAAATTTAACTTGTAACTTGTCGTTTGGATATTAGTGGTTTTTATTTTGATTGATAAAGCTGTGCCTGTCTGAGCTAAGATATAGCTTACTTACTTGGATACCTGGAAGGCCCATACTCACTGGTTGTGCGGACCTCAGCATATTCTCCAGTTTTTGGAGTTTCACTGGTTCAGCCATTGTGTTTCCCTGGAGAACCGAGGTCAACTAGGCCAAAGTCTGCTCCAGGTTGCCACCACCACCATAGGTTGTCGCCGTTCTTGTGGATCAGAGGGAAATTTACCACCATGCGACTAGTTGGATACCATGCCGGTGGTAGAACCTGGTACTGGGTTATCTTAGTTGGGCTTCCTGATGGAAATGCCGAATTCCTTCTAAGCTTAGGAGACGCTGCGTGGGATGAACACCCCTCTGCACATCGCAGCGCGACACCCAGGAACACCCCCACCGCCACGATGATGCGGTAAACCGTCGGGAGGTAAAATAAAATACAGCATTTGTTTAAAATCGACCATTATTCTTGAATCAAACTATTTGATTTGTTATAAAACCGGTTCAAAGGTCGACGAGCAACTTTTCGTATTTCAATAAATTTATGGCAAGCAATTTATGATGATTATGATGGATGCATTAATAAACTTCTTCTATAAAAGTCTTCATATCTCGTAAAACAATTGACAATAAGACCTGGGATGGTGCAGAGGAGAACACTAATAAAAACAGCAGAATTGAAGAGACGGGAAAAAGCTTCGATTCTAAGAGAAAGAAGAGCTAGTTAAGAATGAAGTGTAGCGGAATCTGTTCGAAAATAAGTACAAACAGCCCAGCTATTCTCAACAGGCTTTGGGTAATGAGATGAGCAACAATTCAAATGATTATCACACTTGAAGAAGGATTTGTTTCGACAATAAAACCAAATAATTCTATAGCGATCTCTTGTTTAATGAAGAAATATCACCTCAAAGAAAATTTCAAGCTTAAAACACGCACAATACGATCAGCGAGAAGACCACGAGCAATGACAACGTCGTCGAAGCAAACGAGCAGGGAAATTTGCCGACCTGCAACAGATGTGGATGTTTTCCGAGGAATGTCTTAAATGCACCACTTAAGTCGATACACACTTTCGAGGGTTCTGTAAGCTCTTCAGCGCGCGGAGTATTTCTCGACTAACATCCTTAGAACTTTCTTAGTTTCAATGCTATGTAACGTTTTCACGACTCCGTCGACATCAATCACCGTCATTTCTTATTCACGAAACATGTGTTATTTAGAAATCCTGTCGTGAACAATAAGGTTTGCAGTCGCCTTTTTTCAAAGCAACTACGTGTGAAGATTCCCGTCCTTCTTTGTGGTGCAGTTTGCTAATGAATGTACGCTACCAAAAGAAGAAGAATTATGGTTCAATAGCAACGAATCTTACTGGACATGATACTTACTTGATACTTGGTATTTGAATGGCCCGCCCTCACTGATTGTGCGGGCCCCAGCACAATCTCCATCTTTCAGAGATTTGCTGGTTAAGCCGTTGTAGTTCCCTGAAATCCCCAGGTCAGCCTGGCCAATATTTCCCTCAGGTCTTCACCACCACACGCAGCCGCAGCCCTTGTGCATCAGATGGAGAATTGCCACCATGCGACTTTGATACCAGGACGGTGGTGGACCCTGGTATTGGTTAACTCTTAGCTAGGCGTCCTGATGGAAATGCCGGACTCATTCTCAGCTTGGGAGATCCTTCCAGAAGATGAATGTTTCCTTCCAACGATTTATCGCCTCATCGTGGCTGGGAGGTCTTTCTGGGTGTCGGACTGCAATGTACGGCGGGAGATCCATCTCCTGGTAGGGTCTCCCAGGCTGAGGAGTCCGGCGTTTCGATCAGGCTAAGAGTAAACCAATACCAGGATCCACCACCGTCCTGGTATCAAAGTCGCATGGTGGCGAATCTCCCTCTGATCCACAAGAGCAGCAACTGCCCCTGGTGATGAAGACCTGAGGCAGACTTTGGCCAGGCTGACCTCGGGACTCCAGGGAACCATAATGGCTTAACCAGTAAATCTCCGAAAAATGGTGATTATGCTGGGGCCCGCACAACCAGTGAGGACAGGCCATTCAAGTATCAAGTATCAAGTATTTCTCACCTCATGGAGGACGATATAGCACATTGAGTTCGATCGAGATGGTTTTCGATGAGGAATGCCATCGCATTTCTCCGATGGATCTGAAGGTTCCAGTGGCTCGAATCCAAACGGCACCTAAACAATTTCACTGGAAGCTAATTAGGAAGAAGCAAATATTAATCGCCAATCAGTAGACAGAAATGCACGCGCATCCACTATTTGGAGATACCGCTCTTGAAAGGAACGTGAAGGCAACTGGCACGAAGCGGCGACGGCCACCAACCTCAGACGGCTCCACCTTAGGACATTGCGTCTCGTCGTAACAGTTGTCCGACGTTTTATCCTGCACAATCCAAACCATTACAAGATTTGTGCCTTCGACGAAGGCCGCTTGCATTTTCCTGAAAGCTTCGCATTTCTATATAATCGGTTGTTACCACTAACATTGACATCAATATTAAGCAATAATTAATACTAGTAGCAATAATAATAGCTATGGTGAAAATAATAACCAAAAAGTTCATCCCATTTAGGGTTCTATGCAGAAACTGCACTGCACCACTCCGTTAGGTGTTATTCACTTGGGTTACTATCCTATCGAAGCACAATAGAGTGAGAACAGTATGTAAACCTCAGTTTTTGTCTCCTAGAAAAAGAATTTTGCCCCTTCTGATTACTGACTATTTTAAGAATTATAAATTACATACTAATATAAGATCTAGTTGGGCGCATGTGACGCAGTGGTGGGAGGTGTCCTGGGGCACAGACATGGGATCGATCGCCGCCCTCGTTGCTCAAAAAGCCATATCTCCGGGCTCGGCAAATTGACCCCAGACTTGTCTGGGAGGATAGCAACGCTGGCTCGATACATCGGTATTCCACCGCGGATCATTGTAAAGACCAAATATGCATTCAGTCACCTCCAAACGATGCTTAATGAGGTCGAATGCATGGTGCATTCTTCAGGGATTGATCAACGCCGAGAGCTATTTTTAAATTATATCTAGTTGCTGGAACAGCGTCATTCCGCAAATTCTGTTCTTCCTTGGTTCTTTAGAACCATTTGGCACATGTCTGTGACACATGTAAGGTGGACTGTGGAAGGGAAAAGTTTCGAAGTGATCCTTACTAACTGCGCCACACTGATAGTTAAATGAGTTCATTAGAAATGTTTAACATAAGTCAAGTATTAAGTCGATCGCAGAGTTTTACAACATTATGAGTTCCAGTGCCAAGCATATCTATCTGTGAAAGAAATCAATCTCTAATATAATGGACATCAATACCGATCATAAGCTCTGAAGGTTTTACTGACTCTGAAGGAGCTGGATTTTTGGATAGAAATGAACTCCGGTGACATGGTGGTAGTGCAGGGTTTAGTGATGCAATCCATCACGAAAAGCAAGGTGCCGGTTCGAACTCATCCTCAACGCTCTCCTTCAAACGACATGGGGACTCATTAGCCCGGTTATCTCCAAGATTTCAAGGAGGATTTTCTCGACCAGCATTCTACATCCATCAACAAGACGAAATCCTCAAGGAGCAGCAGAACCAACATCCAAAATGTTCGAAGACTTTGCGGACGATTAATGCCCAGGAAAGCGAATCGAATGCAACTGTAGGAATCCGAATAACTGTCCTATAGCACTGTATAATATAATACAACAATAATAACCATACGAATACTACAATGCCACTAACACTGAGCATTTTGCTGAATTGAATGTGCATGGTCGATCGGAGCGATTCATGTCCACCAAACTTGTGCTCTGCGGACGAGATCTGCCATCCTGGTAAAGGATTGTTTTTAAATAGAGGAAGTATCTCTCCCAAGTTACAGATTAAAAAGTCACAAGTAGAAACCACAATATTTCAGCTTTTACTTTCTGCTTAGTCTTTTTTCATGAACGTGTACGCTGCGAAATACAACCATCAGGACGTTAAGAAATGAGCAAAACTCGGAACCTCAGCTGGGCCTCGAACACGCGATAACCCTTACTGGGCTCTCACCTATCTACCACATCTACCGAGATCCTTGCTTTGCCTCTCTCAATCATATTTTTATTTTCATAAAAAGGAAAAGAATAAATAAATACTCATAAAGATAGAACAAAAACTTAATAATTTCAACTTATTATTTACTGCCTACTCTTTTTTAATGGCAGGGTATATTGCGAAATACAACTTCAATGACGCTGAGATATTTGCAAAACTCCGGACCGCAGGTGTATGCGGTGGAGAACGATCGCGCCATTGTCCTTTCCGGCGAGTAACGCGTTCACCACAGCACCATGCGGGTCCTTCGTTCCGCCTGCCTCTCAGCTAGTTCAATCAATCTTTACCACAGTAATCACCCGTCAGCGGGATTGATCTGGGGGGCCCAAATCGGCAACGAACTCAATTAAACTGAGGCTGTAGTTATAATCACAATTGTGTTGCCGATTTGGGCCCCCAGATCAATCCCGCTGACGGGTGATTACTGTGGTAAAGATTGATTGAACTAGCTGAGAGGCAGGCGGAACGAAGGACCCGCATGGTGCGGTGGTGAACGCGTTACTCGCCGGAAAGGACAATAGCGCGTTCACCACCACAAATATCTCAGCATCATTGAAGTTATATTTCGCAATATACCGTGCCGTTAAAAAGAGTAGGCAGTAAATAATAAGTTAAAATTGTGATTACCTCAGCATCATTGGAAAGACTTAATAATTAATAATATGAATTAATGAATTAAATAAACAAACTAATTAATTTAAAACTAACAAGTTGATGCAAATTTTGGTCATAAATAAAAACGTACGGTATTGGACAAGTAGAAGTAAGACTGTTTCGAGCAGGGAAAGCCATCGGTTCCGTCATGGAAAGACGCCGTATAGGCTGAAACGATTTTAAGGATGTGGTGAAGAAATAGTCACTAATAATTAGCGTTTTATAAAACCATCAAAATTTAGCTCTACTACGTTATTTTATCATCAGAAACTGTAAAAGAAGCTCCATTCAATGCTTTCCGAAACCTAGGAATTGAAAAAATAGCAGTTTTTGGAGAGATATCGGCAGATTAAGCGAAAGATCCAAAGGCGCAAAGTAAGTGGCACCCCTTATCAAATGGAGGACAGCGATTTAAGTAAAACTTAAAACGTTCATTTTTTGCCATTAAATTCGAGCAGATTAAACGGAATAAACCCATTTTTTAAAAATTTAAATTCTTCGTGTTAACATAGACAGATTCATGCATTCGTTTGTGAATGGTCTTGTATGTACTCAGGAGTTTTCTACAGTTCAGTCAGAAGCCTTCAGTCAAATCACTAGAAAGTATACGACAAATTTTCGCACCCCTTTCCAACAAATGAGCCTTGTCCGTACTCCGGAAATGCCCGACATAATCGTCAGTTTATCCAACCCTCACGACTGAATGCCATAATTTTTCCGTAAAGCACTTCTCACCAGAACGGTAAAAATGGAGGATCGCAGGAAAACTGTAACTCCACGTTCCCTCGAGAAATCGAGATTTAAATTAGATGTTCGAAAATTTTCCCATCCATCTGGAAGATGTGATAAGGAGGGCTATCATCTGACCGACCTTCAACGGGCTGAATGAACGAGTGAAGAAAATGAAGCAGTGGATATTGTTTGGAGAGTAGAAGAAGTTTATACACGTTCGATACAAGCCAATAGTACAACCATCGGAATGGCTAAAAAATTCAAATGATCAGTCGCCTAAGAACATTTTCGTATTTTCAAGAACAGATTATATAATCTAGCAAAAAAAATGCGTTCAAGGTTGCTTCTAATTAGTTTGTAAGGACAAAATCGGATGCCCACCTTCAAGGTGTTTGCTGACATTACAACAAACTTTCTTTCTTTGCACGTTGCTTGATGGTCCGTATACTTGACTCTGAACACAAAATTCAAGCTATTTAAATCGATATCAAGACTCCTTTGCGAGAGATCGTCAATATACAACAGCAATCATTGCACCGAGAGAGAAAATAAACCTTTCCATTTGAACCGATACCAGTGTTAAAGAACATGAACGTTTGAATTTTGATGGACTAATGCTCTAGCAGTGTGCTCTTGCCTAGTGCTTTCATTTTTCTCATCACAAATCCAGACAGTAAAAAGACAAAAGAGGATAAAGCTCTCAGCGTTCATCAATCCCTGAGGGGTTGCGCCATGCACTCGATTTCATTAAGCATCGTTTGGAGGTGATTGAATGCATATATGGTCATTAGAATGACTCGCGGTGGTCTACCGATCTACCGAGCCAGTGCTCCTATCTTCCCAGATAGTACGAATTTGCCGACCCCCGAGGGATGGAAGGCTTGGTGAGCCATGGGCGTGGGGATCGATTCCACGTGTGTGTTGAAGAGCGCCTCCGACCACTGCGCCACACGCAGCCTTCTTGTGGCAGACAGTATACGAATGAAATACGGAAGATCCGTGAAATCGAAACCTTTGCTCAATGTTCTTGGAAGACAATGATCTACTAAGATAAAAATATAAGAGAGTGGAAGACATAACAACAGAAACTAAGTTAGACAGCAAACATTCTGTTTTTAATTCCTCACGAGAAGTCGGCAAGAAAAACCGATAGTTGAAAGTCATTTGAGGGTTAACCGCCTTCGGTTTCATACTGTAAGCAATGTACTCAAATAAAGTGAAACAACTGTTAGGCATTTATTTGTCCCTCGCTTACTTGAGGTAAAAGCGTTTCTCGACTAGTAGGGACATAGCACGTTGAGATACTCGATTGATGCCACCAAACCATTGACTGATATGTTTACCTTTGTTTATTGGATCCTGAACAGATTAAAATTCTATAGCACTCTTAAGTAGTTACATCTTAGTAATGGATACTTTCATAAAACAGACCTCTAGATAGTTCTCATACGATATGTCTCTTTGATTACTATAGAAGACGTAGCCATGTTCGTCAAGTAGTACACACCATCGTCTGTCATCCTGAAGCTTGATGTGAAAAATTTTTCTTTCTATTAAAAAATGAGCTTCTCCTTAATCAGCTGACTAAACGAAAGCCGAAACTTAAACTGTAGAAATGATGGCCTCCATTGTAAGGTTTGGCGGCTCTCGGGTAAAAGCATTGACTACGAGGTTATATGCAAGGTTTTCATCGTATTGAAAACACTACTTATCAGTTTCATGATGATAAATGGGCACTGTGTGGATGATCCGGAAGCTATCGGAAAAATAGTAATCTCCACCCGATTTTAGCGCTTCAAATAGTGAGTTTTCTTCAAAAGTTCTGATTAAAGTATGGATAAACCTACGGAAGGTGCACAGCCATGCTCACCCATTAGATTGACGACATAATCGTAAGCGAACTCAAAGCCAGCTACTCCTGAATATATGAAATATAGAGAATTTTAGGCACAAAATTTGTAGATAGAAATAAACACTGGGGAAACGACGCAAAATTTCCTATTGCGTAGATGCGTAGGTAAAAGGGCACCATCATGTCCTCTTATAAATAGATTCATTTCGAAATTGTAATCACAGCTCAGACTCTTGTAGAGAAGGCCACGTCGACGCAATGAATACCAGAGAATTGTTTATCGATCGTGTTGGAATAAGAACTAATACATAAACTTGTAATCATGGCGCGGCATGCAGTGCAGAGACTAGAGAGACAGGGTTGTCGGTAGTGGTCGCAGAGAGATAGGAATCTGATAGTCGGAATACCTACCAAGCAGAGCGTTCCCCAGATAGATTGCCTTCGTTCCCTGGGCCAGCATTGTAAGATTTTCATTTAATCCGTAGCCTGTCAGCTGTGTCTCGGACTTGTACCAGATCTTTGCTAGAACGGTATGGTTACTTGGAGAGTGAATAAAGAGAAACAATGTTGCATTCTCAGCAATGTAGAGGGCAAATTTTCACTAACAAAACCACTGAACCGAAACGAACGGACAAACCAGAATTTCTTAATAGGATGATGTCCACTGTAAAAAGGGAACTCTAAGGTGCGGCAGTAAGATAAGTAGGATTTATCTTTTTATTTTCAAAATTTTCACCAGCGATTTAATCGATCAGTCATTCCCAACAAGAAAAGATTTTACTGCAGCCATTTTACACATATCTTCCGTATTTGTTCAAAAATTCGGTCAATGAGGGATGCCTGGTCGGAAAGTTGCAAACCTACGTATCTCGTTCACAGGTAACGGACAGACCAGAAGAGACGCCGTGATTCCCTGAGATGCAGCTGGTGTGGGCCCAGTGCACAACGTTCGGTGTTTACTCAAATAATAAGTTATGACGAATATGAGGTCGCAACTAGAAGAAATTCTATAGAAAGATTGCCCTATGGGGTCATCATTGGCGACTTCAACGATGTGATTGAACTCAGTAGAATGTCGGAAGAACTTCGTGTCTTGTGGACTGAAATAGAACAACACAGTATGAATGATAGTCCAATTTGTCATGATTACAAAGACAATTCATACTAACATGCAATTTCAGAAGTCTTCCGCTGAACATTGGACGTGGGAGACTACTAATGGAGAGCACCATAAAGAAATAGATCGATGGTTTCGCCAAATCGACTTCGGTGTCATAAGTCTACATGGGATTGGACCACGGTATCCTGAAGACAGAATTGCTTTTTTAGAAAGGACAGAAAGCTGCAAAAAACATGGAATAGAGTCCAAAATCGCAGTAAAATGGGTTTATTCGGATTATTGGCCGATTATTTAGGATATGCCGTTAATGACAACACCGTTATAGAAAACGACTGGTTCCACTAACACCTTCACCTCGGTGCTAAAGAAGCCGTTCGGGAGCTATCAAGAGATGTCTGTCTCCAAAAACGTTCAAGCTGATACGTCTACGCCAAGTCGCACAAGCCGTAGACAAATTCATCGGCTCATTCATTCACCAATTCAAGTCCTAAGTTGGCGGTTGTTGCAGATCGCTGGTAAAAGATCTCAAGGAGAGAGGAGCAGCTGTAGTGGTTGAAACTAACAGTAAAGGAAGCATTTGCAATACTGCCTCATAATTCGTAAATCATGAGACTAAGATCACTGAACTCCTACGCTTGGGTGAAGAATTACGGCTTCGCCAGAAGACAACACAGAAAATCATCTGTAACTTCCTCTTCAGAAGCTATAACCTCCTGCCTCCGTATCAAATTGAAGAGGATGGATATGTCGGTCAGCGGCTCTTCATTCCGAACTCTGAAATACCATCGCTGCGATGAACTCCGTATAATAACAGGTCCTGGTAGGACTAGACTCGAACAGTCCTCATCAGTAAGTTTGCTTAGCTTTTTTCATGTTTCTTATCTGAATGGAAGATTCAAAGTCAGTCAAGGAAAGACCAAGGAAACTGTACTATTGCACAAGAATTGAAATTCATACGAAACCGGTAACTATTGTACAACCTGCTTCTTTGCTATAATTTGCAACCTTTTCCTTCAAAGGAGTAGGATTCAGCACGACGGACTATATCTACGTGGCAACAAAACTCGGCGATATGTTGCGAAACTACAGGAGATCGCTTCGAGGTCCTATAACGACATAAAGATCGAGCTAAGCAGAAGGATTCGACAAAACGGTACCACTCCACCTTTACTGCACACTCTCGAGAAAGTCGTGTACAAACTGGAATGGAATAACAAGGAACTGAGAATTGATAGTCCGCAACTATCTCGTCACTGTATGGTTGTTCATCTCGTTCTTATAACATCGAGTCTTAGTCAGGAGGAATGAATGTGACAGTTCCTAACAAAGCCTATGGGAAAATAATAAGATAAGATACTACTGAATCTCTGAAGCACTGAAGCAGAATGAGTTCGTAACAAGCGAGCTTCTTTCTGCTATCTCACTCATGAATCGAGAAACCGATGAATGCATCCCGTATTATGCAAGTGAGAGCAAGAGAGAATTCAATGTTTAGGCCTATGTCGACCGTCAGAGACAACGCACGTCGCCATTTTGCCAAGATTAAAAAACCCTGTGAGTTTCTAGAGCGAGAAAGATCCATTGGGTTATTTTTACACACGAGAGAGACAAATGGAGACTTTACAAGAGCCCGGTGGAATCATATATTTACATATTATATATATATATATATATATATATATATATATGCGCGAAGACTATTTTTTGCATGTTATTTTATCGAACCGGTGTATTGTGCAAATCCTGGCAGTTTCTGCATTCGATACCTTTCGCTGCATTCATATTCCATGAATGTCTTCAGATTTCTCAGTGAAAACTGCTATATGTTTAACTGCTATAGTATAACTGCTGGTTGGATGGAATAAAAAGGATAGAAATTTCCTATCTTTGGCATATTTTCACTGACCCTTCCTATTCCAGAGCTACAGTGTCCAAAAGCGAACTTATTCAATGGACCCCCTTCGAATTACTTCCTCGAACTGTTTATAACAGGGAAGGGATAACGTATGGCACTGATGTCGATCCTCATGAGCATAATACTGGTTCGACTTCGCCTCGAGCTTACCAAGCCTCTCTTCCCTCCGGGATCGGGAAATCGGTGTCAGACTTGTCTGGGAAAGGTTCACTCTCTGCAGTCTAAGTGAACACTCTACCCAGACTATTCCACTATTCCAGAATTCCAAAGGGAATCCGCCCGACCAGCAGTCATCGACATTTACGACGAAAGGAAAACCTTCAACTAGCAACCAAGTTCACACGGAAAAAAATTTGGAAGACTTACGTGGATAATGGATGCAAGAACGAAGAAGAAAGAAACGAGCCTAATGCAGGAAATGCTGGGATCCGCACAGTAGATGTGAAAGACGGGTTGTATAACGAAGAAGAAATTGATTACAGACCGTATCTAGCTCGACCTCATGGGCCGCACAGATTGATGAGCAGCAGCTCATGATACAGATCTTCGTTTGACGAGAAGGTTGGGAAAGAAGATTGGCCAAGCAGGTTCATTTCTATCGTCCGTGGAATCTCTTTCTTCTCTGCTTCTTTCTTTCGGAATTTTGTTTCCTGTAGAACGACCACGACGAGGTAACAAACCAATCGGAGGTTGTAACTTAAATAACTAGATAACATTTCAATCCAAGAGACGCCAGTTTCTTTTTGACGATATACGGGGACTCCTCACTATTTTAAGGAATTATGTTGCAAGAGTTTCAGTGCAAAGAAAGTCTTGGCTGCCATCAGTGAGTCCTTTATTCATCTTCGTATTCATGATATTACCCAATATAATGCAAATAGACTCACATTTATTTGATACATCAAACACAATGTGGTTCCTCATACGAACACTCCGTCGATAATAGGTGTCGTCGACCGACTTCCTATTCAAATCCGTGATGAAGTGGTTGTAGCTCCTGTAACAACGACGATGACAAGAAGCGCAACACCGAACACTAACGGGTTATATCGATTATAGGGTTATATCGATTAAGAGTTTAGCTAGATTTAAATAACAAAGCATAAGCGTTTGGAGTTGACCAAGCCCTTAGAGATACGCTATGGCTTCAACTCTATTTAAGCATCGTAGAGGTGATTGATTGCTTATTTGGGCTACACAGTGGTTTCCGGAAGTTTACAAATGCACCAAATCAGTGTTTTTAACCTTAAAAACGGGTTCGGTGTTATTTGCCGGTCTCAACAGGAATAGTTAGCTAGAGAGGCGGGGTCGAACCAACGGTATTGGGTATGTTAATTCATCTCTAACCACTGTTCTACGAATACACTAGCAGCACCACTAGCTCAATCACCTCTAGTAAGAATTAGCACTCAAAAATGTGTGGTTTCCAATAGCGGTGCTTCGAAATTACCATCTCGCATATATAACATAGCTTTGTTACCGCCACTCTCGCTGAGCTAAACTGACCACTGATCTCATCAGTTAAAAGGTGTGGAATTTTAGTTCTTTGGTGAGAATAGTTATATAAACACTTGGAATCCCTGTGATAAAACATGAATGGCTGAAAAACCTCAGATAAGTTTTAAAATGATAAGTTGTGAACCCAGTGTTGTAAAAGAAGGATTCTGATACTTTACAGTGGATGGTGAACAAAGCACAACAGTGACTGGAAACCGCACATAACTCATCACGACTACGAGCGTCGATCGTTGAAGAACATGGATATGACTTCAAAAGCAGTTATCTCCGATGCTGAGGTGAAGCTCACGGCTGTGCTCGATCAAGGTGCACTCGGTAAATGGTGCAACATATCAGTATCCTGACCAGCCTGCTCATAATGAGTAGACAAGACAATATTTTTTAAGGAAAGAAGAACTTCTTAGAGAAAAACTTTTGAGAAGATTTTTGAATAAGTAACTGTGATTAAATAACACGAATGGATGTTAAGTATCTAAGTACTTGTATCACCTGCAGTCCCGCTGATTGTCGAGTGACTCGAGTGTGCGCCAGTAATTCTTCCATTTTTCCCTGTTGCGTGCAAGAGTAGCCCAGTGGGTTCTGCTCGCTCTAGGGACTCGTCGAGCATCATATCATTCTTCAAGACTCTTAGTGAGGAACTCTGACCATCGGGTCAGTGGTCTTCCTGCAGTACGTTTGACACCAATCACTAACGGCTCACAACCATTACGTGACCGGCTCATCTTATCTTCGACTGCTTAACGTACAGAACGGTATCTTTGATTTTTGATCGTTAACGCAGATCGGAGCTTCAGATCCCATTCCTTACTTGTGTGGAACGGATACTCCTAGAATCGTCCTTTCGACTGCGCGTTCGATAACGCTGACCTTTCATCCTGCTTACGCAGCGACCAGGTTTCTGACGCATACGTTAACGCAGGAAGTGCCGTTAAGTCGAAAAGGTGGACACGGAGACGAGCGTTCTTTGTTCTATTCACTCACCCTCGATGCTCTTGAAAGCTCCCAAAGCCGCTCGTTTCCTTCTGCTCAGCTCGGAGCTAAGTTTTAATCATGTTAATTTTCCGACCTAGATAGACATAACTGGAGCATTCGGAGATATTCGTTCCGTTGAGCGTGAATGGGGCAAACGAAACCAATCCGTTCCCATTAACAACGTTTTTGTGAGATTTAGTCGAAGACCAATCTTTCCACAGACTTTATCAAAGTCGTCAAGCATATGTTCCGCTTGGCTAATGTTTGGTCTTACAAGGACGATGTCATCAGCAAAACGAAGATGGTGTAACTGCCGACCGTCGATTTTCACCCCATATTATCACATTCCAATGTTCGCATGACGTTCTGGAGGGTGGCGGTAAATAATTTTGGCGAGATGATATCGCCTTGCCTAACTCCACTTTTGACGTCAATGTTAACGTCAATATCGTTGTAGAATGGTGATATCTTGGTTGCGAAATTTTGTACACCTCACGAAGAATCTTTATGTACTGAGTAGGGGCTTCTTGACTATCAAGGGCTTCCATGACTGCTTCTATCTCAATTGAAACAAAAGCCTTCTGTAAATCGATGGAAGTGGAACACTCTCGCGATACTTCAATGAGCGGTGTTACCGTGTGGATGTGGTCCATCGTACTAAACCCTCTTCGAAACCCTGCTTGTCTGTCTAGTGTTCTGTCAATCCTGTTTAAGATGAATCGAGTGAAAAGTTTGTAGACGACAGACAGCAAGATGATTGGACGATAGTTGCCGATGTCCCGTAGGTCACCCTTCTTGAACAATACAATGGTCTTGCTAGCTTTCCACAGGCTCTGAATTCAGACATGTATCGTATGAAGAGCCGAGCCAGTGTGTTTACGAGGACTGGCGGAAGGTTCTTCATGTGTTCAGATCTTATCCTGTCTGGACTTGGTGCTGTTCGATTCTTCATCGACGAAATGGTTTGTCGGATGTTGGAAGGGAGAACCGGTGGTACAACATATCCATCCTCCTCTATTTCATTACACGGAAGGTAGACATGGGTATCGACTAGATCTGAGTAGTATTAGTGAATGATTTTCTCCATTACCTTTCTGGACGATGTAACTGTTCCGTCTGGACGGCGAAGTGCAATCATTTTGGTCTCGTAATTGGCGAAGCTTCGGTGGGCTTTGCGAATGCTTCTCCCAGCCTCTGCACCTTCGTCCATTACTGCTGGTCTACTCTCTGAGATCTTCTTTTATCACCTCTCTGCATTGTTTTGCAAGTTCGGACGTTAGTTCGCGATTGTCTGCAGCTGGAGCGATTCCACGCTGGCGTATCAGCTCGAGTGCTTTTGGCGACAGATGTCTCTTGGTGAATTTCGAACTCTAAACTTTCATAGCGCTAGCGTGAAGATGTTGAATGAGCGGATCGTATTCTTCGTCGATGTTGTCGACAACGTCATCTTCCCAACGGCCAACTAATGAATTGAATAAATCCCAGTTTACGGTGAATCTGGGACTTCGATTTTGGAATTAAGCGGCTTTTTCTCCTTTCCGTGAGAAACAGAATGTTGCACGAAGGAGACGATGGTCTGATCCCGTGTAGAATAAAATTTTGGGACAATAGCACATCGGTTAGGCAAAACCTTCGATTTACTGTGGTGTGGTCTATTTCGTTATGGTATTCTCCATTGGGAGACTCCAACGTCCAGCGTTGAGGGTGGAGCTTCTGGAATTGCGAGTTACCACGGATTGTTTTGGTCAGCATGATAAACTTAGATAGCCGCTCACCCTGTTCGTTCCATTCTAATCCGTGGGTCCCAATGTGACGTTCTTCTTGGTCCAATCTTGGCGTTCAAATCTACAATGATGACCTTGAAGAATGTGTGGTCTTCTCTGTAGAACTTCCCCAAGTCCATATAGAACGCTTCGACTTCTTCTTCGCCATAGTTTGATGTCGGCGCATAAACGACAAAGATTGCCAAAGCCGGAATGGTCCACGTCTTCTTAATCGTAAACGTCCGATTCGGGTTGTAAGTTGTTCGAATGAATCGACGTTCATGGACAAACTCGTGTTGACGAAAACGCCGACTCCACCGACTCCTCTACTGTCGCACGTTCCGAGGAACAGTTCTTCTCCGGTGTCATAGACGGCGATGAAAGGTTGGTGACTTCTCATCTCCGCCAGGCCGATGAAGTCGTACCTTATCCTTCTTGCTTGCATGAGCAAGTCTTCTATCGAGGATTCGGATGCAAGTGTGCGTGCATTGTAGGCACAGATCGTCACCATAGTTCTTTGAAATCCAGCCAGCTTCCATTGGCCCTGAGATTTTAGCAGCCTGTCCGTACTCGTCCTATCCAACGCTGCGAAATTGGGGGCCCTTTCTGGATCAGGGGAATGAGGCCCGTTTTTTACTGTATTTAGCATTTCGATACCAGCGTGTAGCTTGCTGGGTTCTCAACGTGGGGGCTGGTTATTCTCACGGGTACTTTGCCAGGCTCTCCCAGACATGGAGCTTATTTGTTGGAGGCGACTCGTAACCGCGTCCCATATGCTTCCTAGTCTTTACAGGGTTTTGGCCGAATTGACTCGTAGAATACAATCCGCATAAGCAAGAACGCACCCACACACACATGCATGAATACGCCTAGCAAATACAGAACGTATGTGCCAAATCAGCGCAGCAGAAACAGGGAGTCCATCTCCTGGATCCGCCTGCGTCTGGGGGAAGCATAAATCGCTTTTGGTCCACGATTAACCCCTCTATCCGCCTCCTGGGGGCGCGCCACCTAGCTTCGCGACTAACCGGCTCGAGATCCCTCATATGAGGGAGATGAAGTAAGTATTCTTATTAACACCAACATTGCTGTGCGGTGTCTTTCCCACCCATTGTTCCCGATGAAAGCGGTGAATTTCAAATTTCATAAGTAGCATGCCAAGTAAAATCTCCTCAAGCAAATTCTGGGATTGAAGTATTAGTACACCATCTTTTTTGGCTCTTAATACAAAAAACTGCAAGTGGCGCCATTTCATCGTTCAACCCATCTTCTGCAAGCCTCGTTGCCATACCAGCGTGTGGAAACCGAATGAATACATTTCTTAGACGGTTCTTTAACCACGACTCGTTTAAAAATCGGCTGGAGAGTGTGGCTTCCAAGTTTTCTGGATGCGCTTGTGTATGCACGATCACCACTATGTTATTCGGTTTGTTCGGTTTGTGAGCTTCAAAATGCGGATTTTGCCAAAATATCTTTGTCTGACTGGCTACAAGGGGCATATTTTCTGCTATATTTTGCATTCGTACGCTTTGTAAAAGACTCTCTGAGCACCCATTATCACACGTTCTTACCGTAAAAAAATTTGCAAAATCTGAGGAAATCAGCAGCAGTGGTGAGAAGGAGCAGACAAAGAGCTTCCGGACAACCAATTTCAGAAATGTCGAATTCTCATTCCTTTCGAATCTTCTTTTACTTATTCTGCGTCTTTATTTTGAATTTGGTTTTAGTACTCCTTCAATCAACTTAGTATCAACAAAAGTGACAGCGTTTGATTGAGCACGTCCAGAGCTGAACTTAACCTCGATGGTTAAAGCTGTGGGTTATGTTTGGCGCCTTGCTTACTGTTTAAAATGTTTGTCCACTGTCGATAGTATGTTCGGCCGTTTAGGTGATTTTCGCTTTGGTGCAAATAACCTTAATGCCATGATGAGACCATTTCGATCATATAAACACTTCCAGTAATAAGCGTTCAATTTAGTCGAAAACTAAGAAAAATCTAATAAAAATCCAGATTTCTAGAAGGATTCAGAAGAACTCTCGATCACGAACTAAGTGAGGAATAAATGGCGGAAACATGGGAAGAAATAACTCACTCTTGTACGTGTTCTATGCTTAACATAGCACCAATATGATCAAATATGCTCCAGTTTGGATCCTCGTAATCATAGTCGTCCAACGTTTGGTTGTAAAATCGAATCAAACCAGATGGAGCAGTAAAGAACACCAGATGAATCAAGTTACTATAAAATTTTATCTGAGAATGTCGGTCCTATTACAATGCGTACGACTCACTCCATAACCAATTAACAACATAAATGAAGAATTAGTGCAAGTACTCCTTTACCAATTTTGCAGCGATCCAGTAGTTGTAAGTGCCAAACAGATACAGGATAATAGCAGAATGGAACGTACTCTTTAAGGAACTGCCACTGTTGATCCCAACTGTCTTGAAGAGCACTTGTTGCCTCAAGATCGACTAGCAGCTTGTTGACTAGTTGCTCTCGCGGCTGACATAGCGCTGGCAGTTTGCCTGAACATACGATCAAAATGGCACCTTTCTTATGTGCAAACGGGCCATTTAATGAACGACGTAGTGGTTCAATACAGATGCTTCATCAAGAACCGTAAATGGAACGCCTTCACGCTGCTAAGTTTTGTGGCAGATTCAGTATGGAATCAAGGCAATCAATTTGCCAATCTATCAATCAATATCAATCAGTCAAGCCACCAACTTATTAATATTTTAATGCGATATTGGAAGACATATAATCTCCGACGAGGAATACGACAATGATTACGAACATAACTGCCGTTTTAGTTAAACATTTCAGAAATGAGGAAGACATTACCGCTGTGCCTCATTTGGTCTGCGTACACTACAAACGCCTCCTCTTTCGTTACGTTCGTGTCGGTGTCATTCAACAAGCAGTAGCGCCTACATCATGCAATATATTGTACACACTTCAAAATCAAATTCGAGTCTCACCTAGGTGGTAGGAATGAATTATTGGCGTCGTATGGCGCCCAATAGTGAAAAAGTTTAGCTATTATAAAATAAATGAATTAGTTGAAACCATCGGTTAAAGACAGACAACACCCACCAGTGTGGGTGAATTCTCCACTGCTTATCGCTCATCCACCCCGGTTGTACGTGACTGTAGTCATAAGTTCGACTTTTCGGTCGCCATCTGTGTTCGTCACCTTTCGCCACCGCCAGGCCGAGTCTGAACTTCTTTGATGAAAAGCTTACTATAAAACGGAATTTCTTTGCTCCTTTTCTTCCCCCAAGAACTGAGATGATATGGGATTTTTCTCTGCTAGTAATTGTGCCAATCAAATCTCAGTCAGCAGAATTCTATATAAAGTCAGGGAAATTCCGAGACGTGCAACGATATTGATTCGATCCTTTGCAGCCTAGCCTTGCCGTTTGATTTTAGTACTGGTCCTATGGGATAGAGCCAGTAATGACGCTAAGTTTCGGAAACAAAGCACGTAGAGTTATCTACACGACATGGCTAACAAGCCTATAAATCGATAGGTCTTTTTCGTAAGTGACAGTTTTGTGGACCTACTTGAAAAAGGAGATTTTATTGAAGCACATCTTCCACTTTTGTTGTTATGTGGACAAAACTAAGTTTCACTGTAGATCAAACCTTAAAACTGACTCAAAAGGGCTAAAAATGTTTGACTAACACGAAGTTTGCGCCCTTGATACATTCGGAATAGTAAACGTTGGTCTGCGGATAGACACGATCTAGCGCTTCAGTGCCGTAGAGCACGTCGAGCAGTTGTGGATCACTATTGTCGCAGTTCAACACCATCTTTCGCACCTGAATCCTTCAGTTACGTGACAGAAGTGGCGCATCATGAGGCATGGAATGCTGTCGATGCCACAAGGACAATGCATTTGGAACCTCTAGCCAAGTAAAAGTTACTTGCATGTCAACTATGCTTCATTGAGCTCTGAATACTGAGTGCTCACTATAAAATTTTGTACATCTATACTGACAATTCAATAGAGTCTACTGTGAAAGATTCCATTCCTTCCAAAATAGGTAGGCGGAAAATTTTAGAATTTCCAACAATGAAGTGAATTAGTGTTTTGAGGATTTTAGACTTCAAACGAATGTGGAATGTCAACAGGACTAAGTTTTTGAAAATAGTGTCGATTTCGCATTTCAACTCTCTGAAGTTCCGTGTTGAACATTGAACGCCATAGATTCATTAGGCGCTATGTATCCGTGAGGAGTAAAGTTGACGAAATGTATTGACCCCTCTGCAGCGGTTTATTTTGCCCCACGTTATGGACTAAACATAATTTTATGCGTTTGGGCTCAAATAATAGTGTGTTTCAAAGCGCAGATTCTTTTCACTGTTTTCGACCCAATCACTTTGTGTTTAACCCGGTATTTTAGCAAGAAAGAAGCTCAAAAAAGCAAAATCGGAAGTTCGTTCATGAAATCAAAACGGAACGTGAGCTTGCGGAATCTGCTTTCAATAGTTCAGAAGACTCGTTATGATAAATAAAAGAAAGTCATAAAATTCATCTTCAATGTCAACTTTAAAAACTCTAAAACCTCTGCGTTGACCAATCGCTAAGGGATGCGCCATGCATTCGACTTCATTAAGCATCCTTTAGAGATGATTGAATGCATATCTGGCCTTTACAATAACTCGCTGTGGCCTACCGATATATCGAGCCAGTGCTGCTGTCCTACTAGACAAACCTGGTACCAATTTGCCGACCCCGGAGGGATGGAAGGCTCGGTGGGCCATGGGCGCGGGGATCGATTCCGTGTATGTGTTGTAAGACGCCTCCGACCACTGCACCACACGAGCCCATGCCAATGTAATATGAACATATTTTCAAAGGTTATCAAATGCCTCGTCTGATATCAATATATTCAATATGAACATCTATGTAGAACTGGCCAATTTTATTAGTTTGAAGGCAATAAAACTAAAAAAGATTCTATATTGAAATTTACATCACCTACTGAAGAGCAAATAACAACTCGCATTGCGCCTTAATTAATTTAACGATGTTCCAAATGACACCTCGTATCGTCGTCGGCATTCACACATTAAGTACAACGTTGGAAAGAAAAGCGCATACAGTCTATTGTTATTTCAAAGAGTGAAAATTCCGACTCATGCAGATCGCAACATGCAGTGGAGAGTCACAAAAGGCACGACCAACGACAGAATGCTTAGATGATGCGGCGATGCGTCCAGGACCTTCCCACATGGGAATTGCCATTAGTCGGACACACCTTTCCGCATCTTCATTTCGTCATTCAGGAGACGTCACACATCGAATCTAGAACACCGCCCTGTTCACTATGAACCGGTCCAGTGTTGATGGTTAAGTTGGAGTAGCGGAAGCGAAAGACTTTCAACAACGATGATGCCAAGCATTTCATTTTGAGCACAGTCCAGATGATTGCTTCTCAGGGAAAAGTCTCTGACACCGCAAGATATCCCGCATAGGGCATTCCCAATAAGTCTACTCGAATTAAGCTAACCGCGAAATATATGGAGTGACTGTAATGAACCGCTCTAGGGTACAGATTTCTACAAAAATAAACGCGAAACCACTTTCTAGCGGTGAGTGGAAGAGTTTCTACAACAGATTAACTGGAACTGCAGGTTGGAAAAAAGGCACACATCAGATTAGCTGCTGCTTTCAATAACTATTGCTGAGCACTATTTAATAAATACATCATGCCATTGCGGTCTACTGAATACTGTTTTCTCGCTGATTACATTCGGGTATATGGATCGGTACAGAACTGTTTCCCGTGTGACGCAATTACTCTAGGAAAATGTTCGTGCAGTTGTATTACTGTAGCGGAACCATGCTAATGAAACACTTGGCGAAAGAGAAGCGCATTGAGACGGTTGTATTCCATACGAAGTCTCGAATATGTCCGATGCATTCGGCAAACGTTGTCCCCTGGTCGCAATACAGGTCGGAGATCTCCTCCTTGTCTTGCGAAAGTCGAATCTAAGCATTAAGTCGTAACAGTTCATTGCTAATAAACCGAAAAAACGAATAGAAATTGAACGCGATATGAAGAGCACAAAAAGTAATCTGGACCGAATTTTTGCTAAATTCTAATTGGAAGCTCATTCGCGAATCTTCAACACCAGTAAGTCACACCGACAATGGCGCCGCAATAACGTAATACCTGCTGTGTTTGTGGCACTTCGAGCTCGAGCAGATCCATGTTGTTATAATTCTGTTTGTGCGACCGACTTTTTGGATCCTTAAATAGTTAATGAACTATGATGGATTTTGAGTGAAATGACATTTGCAACAATTAAATGCGAAAGTAGTGAATCGGATGGCAAACATAGCTGTAAGTACGTACAATTGGCCGCAACTGTGGGTGGAACATAACGAAACCGTTCTGGTCAAGCATGAAGAAATAACTGCGACCACCGATCTGAATTTCGTTGCTTGTTGGTAAGACCAAATTAAAAGGAATTATTCGCTAATTAATCGCATTTTTTATGGAAACACTGGCGATGACGCTTAATTTTGTAGGGCAGACACGTTGGCGACGTCTAGTTTCCGGCGCCCATATACGAATTATATATGACTCATGTCGACCGAAATCTACACCCAACAGTTTGGACTAATCGCAGTCATTGCAAACGAAATTGCAGTGAATTAATGGTCAGGATTTGAGAGATCAGAAAAACGTAAAAGAGACTTTGTTCCTTCATCCTTAGGATACCCATAACATTTCTAAAGCTTTGTTTTCACTTTGACACTTATTTAGAGTACGAAATTTTCTAAAAATTCAAAAACATTCAAAATTTCGAAGCTTAGAAGCATACTGCCCATAAACTGTGGAAGCACTACTGCGCCTTCTCAACGGATTCTCACTTGTTCAATCGCTTTGCAGAATTATGATCTTCGACAAAAGGTCTCGTTATTTGGTCTCCAAAAGACCAGAATTTGAATAGAAAGCCTCGACCTTATTTGCAAGGATTTGCAGATTTTAACTTCTATATGCTATTAAATCTAAATTACATTACGTCAACAGGAGAGGAACTGGAACTTGGCTCTACTCTACATATAAAATGATCATCAAGATTTAGATGATAACCAGCCTGAAGTATCTTTTGGACTCCAAATCTCCAGTCTTGACAACAATGTGAGCCGAACAATGAGCACGATTGATAGAAAAGAACACTCCACTAATACAAGGAGCACAAATTTAGTAACAAACCCTTCTGATTGTGAGCGAAAGATGGGCACACATACAATGTCGAGGTGTATGTCAGCAAGGAAACCTCCGAGAAGGGCGCTGCAGATGAATCTAGTGGTCATGAACATCACGAACGGCTTATTTGATGAAGGAGGGCACGTCTATGTTGATAATTCATAAACGGGTCTCTCGCTGTTTAAAAACTTTATCATTTCTCAAACCCATCTTATTGAACAGTGGACGAAAAACTGGACACGCGTTCTCAAGCTTTTCATCCTCCTGAAGCTGGAGTACAATGAACGACAAAAACAAAATCAGAATGGTATAATGGTGCTGAAGTAGAAAGGTATGAGAAAGACCACTATAATGTGTAGGTGCAAGAGAACGCAAAATCTGATAAAATAAATATCAGGCAGGTGAGAACGATACAGCTATCTTTGCTTAGACTGTAGAAATTGTGAGTTTGCGATGACTGCAATTAATATCTACACGGTGTTAGGTATAAGGATTGTAGATTGATTGTAAAGCATTGTAAAGCAGATATTTTTGAACACAACATTTATAGCAATAGCGAAACGCTACTAGAATACTTGGATACTTGGATGGTCCATCTTCACTGGTTGTGCGGGCCCCAGCATAATTCCCGTTTCTTCGGCGTTTTGCTGAGCGAGCCATCGTGGTACCCTGAGGTCCCGAGGTCAGCATGGCCAAAGTGTGCCCAGGTTATCACCACCACAGGCAGCCACTACCCTTGTGGATCACAGTGAGATTTGCCACCATGCGACAAGTTTGATGTGTAAGTAGTCGGAGATGTTACCAGTTGCCGCGAGATTCAAATGAGACGTAGAAACGCGTGCAAAAAGTTTTGACGAACGATTAAATTTAGAATAGGGATATTCTCGTTTGATGCCCAACACAAAGTTTTGCTGGACAAAGCATCCAAAGATTACAAAAAGTCAGATAAAAAGCTTGAGAGAGGGGGGTGGGGACAAATAAACAAAGGAAAAGGCGAGTCACGTATAAATTGAGCCAGCCTTAACGCAAAGGTCACTTGTCGCAGGTTAAGTGCTCAGCCGTCGCCAGTGTTTCACTCGTCAGGTATCGAAAGCGTAAAAAGAAGTTAGCGACGTTTAGAAATTCTCAAGCATAATTCTTTAGACCTCAAAAGGTAAGACACCCATAGTAAGTAAGTATATGAGCTGTGAAATGTCACTAGAGCTGGTGACTTGTCGTGGCGTTCTCCGCTTATTAAGAACAAGAATTTAGTTTTTGAGAATAAACTCCTAGACTGAGTCAACATAAACGCCGTAGCTATAAAACGATTAGCAGTAAATTGAGCATAATTATTGGCATAAATTTAATCACTTTTCCTAGACCAAAAGGAAAGATGATTTTCTGAAAGTTTACGAACGTTACTAGGATGAGCCTGTTGATTGAGTTCAGTGAGAGGAGTGTTCACAGCAGCGACACCCATAAACGTCCGATTCACGATCACCGGGAACGAAACCGTCGTCACGAACATTCGTCCACGAGCCTCCGTCTTTTGAAGACGAGTTTTCTAAAAAAATATTGAAGATTTCTCTAGAAATCTAAGAAAATTTCAAAGTAACTCGACTGTATCGGAGGTAAACGATAAATACAGATATAATACATGAAGAAGGAAAACATGTCAAGAAGATGATACTGCTGAAATATCAGCTTTAGTGGAACAAAAAATAAAGTAACACCTCGTGTTTGCTCAACAAAAATATCGAGAATATAGAGACTATTAGAAAAATCAGAAAATTTATTACTTATTTATTCTTTTACACGACCAGTCCTTCATATTTACTGCGCGGATCCCAGCACTGCTTGCATTAAATTCGTTTCCTCATATGCATAGTCCACGATGATCGTCCAACCTTTGCGTCAGGGTTCGAGACTTGATGAATTCCTCTTCGTTATAAATATCGTTAAATTGTGGTCAAGTCGATTCTATATGGAGTCCTGGGATAGGGAAACTACAGCGCTCACATTTGGATTGGGGGAGGGGAACATTTCCCACAGAAGTCTGGTACCACCTTCTAGCCCCGTAGCCTGAGAGGCTTGGTGAGCGCGATACAACGCCGAAACAGTACCTGCCCGTGATGATTGGCATCACTATCACTACGTTGTCCGCCCTTTATCAAAATGTTTAGACATAAATTCAGAGTTTCGTTATACATTTTAGGTAGTTTTCATACCAATGCATACTTACCCGACGTGCAGCCATTTTGTTCATGACGGCGTACTGAAATGAAAACATTTTTTGAAACTCATTTAATCTCGACAAGACTAATGAATACTTTGTTATATTAATAAGATTATGCAAAGGAACGAGAGAACAAAGTATCGGAACGAAAATGTTACGAGACCAGACAGAAGTTTCTAAAGATTTTCAAGAAGTCAAACAAAAATGAAGTTTTTCGTTTAGAAGTATTCTTCTTTTGAGATTTCACTAAAAAAACAATGAGATAGAAGAAGATAAACTCACTGACTGATTGGTTATTGGAACCGGCTCCGCAAAGATTTCCGGACGTGGAAGATACTGGAAGAACAACTTTAGTAAAAAAAAAAAAAACAAATCTCAATATTTTGCACAATTTGCACTTTGCATTTTACATAATCCGTCATCACATCTATGTGCTGATCCTAGCACTTGTGTTCAGTTCGTTTTCCACTCACCGTCCATAAGGCTCTTCGATTACAATGGTATTTTAAGATTTCACATATTCATATGAAATGCTGAGATATTTGCAAAACTCCGGACCACAGGTGTATGCAGTGGAGAACGAACAAGCGCTGTTGTCCTTACCGGTCCTTATAACTAAGCCTCGGCTTAACTGGGTTCAATGCCGATTTGGGCTCCCCAGATCAATCCCGTTGACGGGTGATTGCTGATGGCAAAAAAGATCGATAGAACTAGCTGAGAGACAGGCAAGACGAAGGACCCGGATGGTGTAATGGTGCAGTGCGCTGCTCCCCGGTAAGGACAGCAGCGCGTGTTCGTTCTCCACTGCATTCACCTGTGGTCCGGAGTTTTGCAAATATCTCAGCATTTCATACGAGTTATATTTCCCAACATACCCTGCCATTAAGAAGAAAAAAGGGCAGTAAATAAAAGGGTTAAGATTTCACATATTGTTTCAGCTTCCGCTTGAAGATTTCGTCTCTTTGTTACGAATGTTGTAGAGAACTGGTAAAGTCGATTCTCCTTGCAATCTTGGAGATAACCAGCCTTAGGTGGCTGCACGCGAATTGGAGTTGGAAGTGAACGTTAGGAGGGGTCGAAATTGCACCATTGCTTGCTGATCGACGGCATTACTAACCACTGTGCTACCCCTCACCTTTTAATAGTGAAGGATGGTAAACTTCGGTTAGGAGTGGTTGTTTTGAACGACTACACAACTGACCAGCCTCTCGCGATATACGCCACTCCATAGCGCACCGTCTATGTGAATGTCGGCGGTGTGCTGACCAATTGATCGTGACATTGTTCGGATGTAGTACTAAAAAAAATACTTTTCGAAAAGAAAGTGCAATGTTTGGGGTAATCTGTAACCTGTGGGAAATCTACTAACTTGAACTTTATCCTCAACATCAGCCATATTCTGTACGTGGACCATATAACCGCGATTGGTGCATGCCATTGTTTTCACTTGCTCAAAGTCGATGGCCTCTTCCCCGATGAGAAATGAGAAAAACCGTACCTAAATGAATTGCTGGATGCAGGAAAGGATATAGGCGTTCAAAAAAGAATGTGCACTTAAAATGTTTCAAGTTTTATTTACTGCCCATTCTTTTTTCATGGCAGAGAATGATGTGAACTATAGCCGCAATACTGCTGACGTATGAAGAAAAATCGGAACCTCTGGTGGACTTCAAACCCGTGTTCATCCTTCCCGGGGATTCAAGCGCTATTCATCACACCAACCGACGCTATTGCTTCGTTTTTCTCTCAGCCATGTTTTAACTCCATTGATACTATCAGTAAGACTTAAAGAGCCAGGCTAGAGTCATCAGCACAGTAAAAGGCAATCGTGGATTGGAAGCCCATCTGAGGCTTCGAGTTTTGTTCATATCTCAGCACCATTGTGGTTATAATACAAATTCATTCGCACAAAATGAGAAATCGAGCATCTTGTAGGCTGAATCAAACGAGTCGGGAGCTGCCTGAGAGAATGGTCGCTTTCTTAGGCAACAGAAGAATAATCAAAATCTTTCGATTTTGTTAAAAACGTGCTGTTTTACTGCCTGCAAAAGTCATCGATCTGCCACGTAAAACTAATTTACAAATTTTCACTCAATATCCTGGAAAAGTGTGCTTTATTACTTTTTGTTTGCCATCACATGTTGAACAGATATAGCAGCTCCTATTAATTAACTTCTTACAACGCCCTTGAAAGCTCGGTCAACAAATCACAAATTCGTTGCTTTAACAGGAATTGTTGTCGTCCTGGAAGAATAGCAGTCCCCGAAGGGACAAAGCCCAGCGCCTCACTGTGGTAAAATCCAAGGAGCTCTATATCACGGATATCTCTGGATTTCAAGGCAAATCGTGCTCGATCTAGATCTACCACTTCACTGAGGAGACTAAGTAACAAATCGTCGCGTTCCAGTCAATCGAACGCTCGAATCAGACCACTTCCGTGAATGACAGTTACAAGACAGCGAAATGAGTGAGATGAGTGCTGGAGCGCCCACGTGACATAGACGCTAAGTTTTTAAGGAAATATTTATGAATCACATTATAACTACTTATACATCAAGTTGACAACCTTTTTATCCTTGTTGTATAGGTCGAATATTTCCTTATAGACATTGGGTGCGCCATCGGTGATGAGCATGATGACATTTTCACAGCCCTGGTTGGGCGTGCCACCAGGCGAATTGATCTGAAAATGAACTATTCGAGCCGAGCCCATCATGAACAGCTTGTTCCCGAGGAGAACTCATTCGATCTCAATACAACATTGGCACAATGGTTACACCACAAAGAACAAAATTTATGCGAGAACGTGAGACCTGCAATGAAACTCCGGCTTTCAAAGACCTTAGTGCAGCAAACTTGAGGTAGCAAGAAGATACAAGCCAGTGGAACCAAATAAGAAAAAAGCCGAATTTACAAAGCAGGAAGCCTTCACGTGGGAATAGAACAGAGGGAAGACAAAAAGTTTCGGGAAGAACAATTTAACAACTTACGTGTAGTAAATTTCCTTCGTTGATTTTAAAAAAGTACTGGACTAAAGGAACAACTTTGTGTTTTTCCTGTACAAGTGTGTCTCGAGGCAATTCAAAGGCTTCCTAACAGTTTGGTGGAAGCACAGTGCTACATAATTAGCATTGACAAGAAGTTCTCAGTAGCCCGACTATCCATGCAATGAAGGTTAGATATTAAACTTAAGGCAACATGCTGCATAGCAAATCACACAACACTTCGGAATCTCATGCATTCCACAGTTGTCACCAGTTCCACTTACTGCCTCTATATACTGAAGATCGGCGGACAGGACGTGTTCAGGAAAAACAACGTGAATCCGACCTCCAGTGGCGTTCGGCTCCATCAACGCCATTTCCTCGAGCGAGTGCAGCTCGTAGTGGCCGGGCAGCTGAGAGAACAATGGAAGGTGCTGCCGCTAGGGCCACATGGCCGTTCGCTGCGCACCCGCACAGTACGAGTGCGGCGGAGGCCAACATTGCTTATATAGGAAAAACAAAAACAACTATAGTTTAATACAATTTTGACGAGAGCGCATTCTGAACAACCTATCGCCCACAAAGCACTTAATATTATCGTTGAATATGCTAATAAACTAGCGTTAATGTTTTATCCTATCTTAATCTTATGAATTCTAGGCTGATTTTTCTATTTGCGAATCTTCTTTTGTTTTCCAGAACAAAGCTTTTCGCAATTGGCGTCTGTCATAGCGTCCCATGTTTAAGTTAAGCAATTAGCTTTAAACAGATTGTCAAATTCTGTGCTCGACTACTGTAAAATCCATCGTTTAGCTTTTGTTGTCATATTCCACAGGTGGCCATTTGTATGTGTGTATGTCTGTGTATGAGTGTATATGTGTGTGTGTGTGTGTGTGTAAATAGTATATGTGCATGTGTGTTTATCTGTATGTGTAAGACGAGCGGTCCAAGCGAAGGAACGGAATGTTTAAAGTTAAGCGGAAAATGAACAACATCACAAAAGCTTCGTAGCAATCAACAGATGAGGCACCTCAAGCAAATCTCAGTTAGCAACTGATTCTGTTAAGCACTAGGCGACACAGAAGCCCCGCACCCATACGCAGATTCAGCCATACAAAACACATGAAATGGACGATCAGACGATCGGACATAAAGGATCTGTAAACGGCAATGACGCCTTAGACTTCGCAAACAGTTATATTTGAAAAAATTCGCAAAATCATCGGAGAAAAACCCGTGTATCAAACTCACGTTCAGCAGAGTGGTGAAGGCATGTGTTAGGGCTTTTTCGTATTCAGCTTTACCTTCGCTTGTCACATTATTCATTTTATTACGGAGATCCTGAACAATACATTTGCAAGAATTCAATAAGCGAATGATGGAAGGATAACTGACCGATATAGTTGATCAACGTTTGATTCGCAATGAATATTTGTGTGCTGCTGCTGCACACCATTTTAAGAAAAACTGTTACTCAACAGTCTACCGCACAAGTCATTCCATGAGATTTAGCTCTCAAAGATTTTGGGTGGTTTGGAATGATGGCTTGAAGGCGAAAAAAACCGCGTGGCTTTGCTTCATAAATCATACCCTTATATGCCATAGAGGATTAAAAAAAGAATAAAGCTCCCAGCGTTGACCAATCCCTGAGAGATGCGCCATGCATTCGACTTCATTAGGCAGCGTTTGAGGTGATTGAATGCATATCTGGCCTTTACAATGACAGTGCCGCTATCCTCCCAGAGAAGTCTGGCACCAATTTTTCGACACTGGAGAGATGGAGTGTTGCATGCTGCTTCCGAACACTACGCCACACGCGCCACAGTGGAAGGAACTGGAAATACCATCAAAACATGGAGTCAGGAAATCGCTTTGGAACGCGCCGTCTACGGATGAATCGAAAGCTTTCATAGGAGTTATACAATAGCTTACGATTGAAGATTATAACCGAAACTGGCTTTCAAAATGTCACTTAAGGACTTGCAGAAGGACTCAACGTTAGCTTTTCAATAACGATTCGTCATATAGAAGGCACTGGAAATGTTGAAAAACTTGACAGATGGAAGTCATCTGAACGACAGTGAGGTTATAAAAAATACCCTGAGCCTCTCCTGCACTGCAAAAACAACTTTCGTTTCTTGATCGCACTGTGTGTTGAAAAATAGATCCTAGATGCTAGGAAAAATAGATTCAACGAAGTTCACTTCACTGATTGGATCGTGATGAAGCTCATAAGGATTTTGCAAAGGCAAACTTGCATCATAAGAAGACTTTTGTTGTTCTACATAAGGTATTAACACAAGCTTTTTCAACCCTGCCTTCGAAGAATTCACCGCTTACAGAACTTCAATACTCCATGCATGCTACCACAGAAACTAAGCTAAACGTGTTGCATTTCATTGTTTCATAATTGACCAATGGAATTCCTATTCAAGCCACGTTAAAATAGGTCATTATTTCCGTTTCATTTCCAACAAATGGGATAACCGCAACCTTGCAGCATAATCGAATAAGAGATTTAGTTTACTAAAACTTCGAATAACGAACATGAAAGCGTAAACAGTCAATGTTGTTTCATTGAAATATCTTTAGAAGCTTGATATGAAGTGTGTTCATCTTCAATAGAGATTTGTCTTGTTTATAACTGCTTTGACTGCAATGCATGGCAGTTGCACCGTAATCTCATGTAGGCAAGCGCGCATTATGAAGTGTATAATTTCTCAGACAAACTTCTCCAAGTCTTGAATTTTGACTATTTCCTCAAAGAAATCACAAATTGCAAAACACAGTTCGCTTCAGTGTTTTCTCTACGGATTGAATACTTCAGATGTCAACGGCTCCAAGGACAGTTTTAAGTGCAGACAAATCAGAAGAAAAATATACTAAAAACCTTTTTGTTTCGCATCGTCGCCTGTAGAAGACCATTTTTACCATTGCAATCATCAAGGAAGAACGGCGTTTTAGAAAACTGAAAGTACATTCGTTTTTGAGAGAGAACAGATATGTATGTTGACTATAGTTTTCTAACAGTGATGTCTGAATACGTATAATATAATAATATTGCTGTACGAGCATAGTGTTAGTTCGATTCCGCTTCGAACCAACCAAGCCTCTAACCCCTCCAAGGTCGGGAATTTGGTACCCGACTTACCTAGGAAAAAGTCGCTCTCTGCAATCCCATTGGGAACGCTTCAGCCCGGCTACTTCAGGACTTCAGGGAGAATGGACTCAACCAGCATTCTACAACACTCAAGATGAAATGAAAACCCTCAAGCAGCAACCGAAGCCACGCGTAAAAGTCTGAAGATCTTCATGGACAATGGATGCGAGGAAACGAATCGAACGTGAGAAATGCTGTGATCCGCACAGTAGACTTGAAGACGGGTTAAATAAAAAACAAAGAAACAAATATTGATGTAGTGACTGCATCTTATTATCAATAATTTTTAGTCTTCATTTTACACGACCCGATGTCATATGTTATATGGGTCCCAACAGATCAGGTTTGGTTTAGTTTCTTTGCATCCACAATCTAAGAAGGTCTTCGATATTTGCGTGTATGTTTGGATGTTGCTTCAGGGTCTTTCTCTTCTTTATGAATTTCTTTCAATGCTGACCAAGTCGATTCTTTATAGAAATTCAGGGAAAGCAGTGCTACGGAGTTCTTACAACAAGTTATTGCCAGTTACTGTAGACTGGATGCAGCAGGCCGATTGTATTCTATTTCAATAGACAAGTGTAGCACCAATTTGACGATTCCAGAAAGATGGGATGATAGGTGGGCTAGAGCTGTAGTCGAATGGGGCGTAATAGACATCTTAGTACCAGTAGCACATAACTAACCGGCATTATGTTGAAGTAGTCGTTGTGAGATAACGTTTCCAAAATAGCCTCAGTGGTCTGTTTGGCGATCTCGTAGCGCTGTCCGAGCATCGATCCCGACATGTCCAGCATAATCAGCACGTTCTTCGAGTTTGTCGCCGCGTTTATATACCTAAACGAGCGCTTTGAGTCCAAAATAGAAAAGAAAAAAAACAGAGAGAAAGTTTGTGGATGTGAGTTCAAAAGCTCACACATCCATCTGGCACCTATTAACGTCCGATAGGTGTATGCCTACATGAACCCATTTAACGTGCCTGGAATTTTCCCTATTTAGTCCTGGCACTTGCAACCATACTATTTTATTTGTTAGTCAAATAGAATAATTTACCCTGCGTTAAATCTCGGAAGCATTTGACGTTGAAATCACAAATTCTATAACCTACGAGTTAGCAATGGCGAAGCAACTTTGACTTCGTGAAGAAAAAGAGTGCGGAGTCATTCGATTAACTGGCACCAGATAAGTTTCAATGTGATATGAGAGGAAAACGCCTACTCACCATTGAGTATTCCGACAATCAAACAGATCAAGATGGTCTTCATGGTTATCCCAGAACCAAGATGCAGCTGGAAATAGATACCAGTAAATCATTGAAAGAATGATGTCAATGATGAACTCAATGTTTCTTACCTGGAAAAAAACGCATATAACCACTTTCCGAGCAGAACAGCTGAAATGCAAGGTCACGGGTCTCTTCACGTTGAGTGCGATAGACTTCATCAATTTCAGACCATTGGATTTTTCGTAATAGTTCTGGATCTGAACTCCTCTCTTGGAGCATTACTCAAACCTAACATCCCGTAAGAAATCTCTGAGATATTTCAGCATACAATATATCTTGCGCACAGGAATAATGAAATATCCCAACTGACTTCTGTCATAGAGTGGAGTCGGTAAATGAACAGCTGACGCTATTGAAGAAGTTGGGAGACTGTAGAAGTTGGCGTTGGCGACAAGCGAGAAGTTGCTGAGCAAGATCACGTTGATTTGCAACCGTTCTAGTGGTTAATAAAGTCGGAAGAAAATTCTCGTTTTTCACGTAATACGCTGGTTAAATACTAAAAGCGACTTGATCTGTCTCTTCTCCTTTTTTTCCTTTTTTCCTGTTTCAAGCAGATTTAAATATAGGTGCCCTCTGACCGATGCAGACGCTGGCACTTAAATTGGAGCTTATTTAAGCTTGCTCGAAATCGACAGTGATATTCAGCACTCCTCTTATTCCGGAGAATTCTGCTCAATGAAAAAAGACGGGAGGAAAGTTGAAAAATAGGCATATAATATGTTTGGCTGCTTAAGAACTGCGGACACTAACGAATGAAGCTTCAAGAGACAATTAGGCCACGTATGAACATATTGAAGAAACTCTCATAAACAAATAAAGATATCCAATCGGGTGGTTTTAAAGTGGTATTCGAAAGTAGGAATATGAAGCAAAACAAAAACACAGCCTGGTGAAAAAACGTGCCCAAAAAAAGTGGAACAGAAATTTCATCTCTTGCCCACAACTACCAGCTGTGAGGACTCCCAGTCTCTACCTAATCCAGGAGAAATTAACCTTTTGAATAACAAATTTTCCAATAGTGGAGATGAAATCCAAAGGAAGTAGTCAAAAGTAATCAAAATCTGCATCATTAATTGAGTAAAACTTTACTGAACCGAGTCTCACTTAACTTCCGCATAAACAATCAGTATAGTTCTCAGATTGTGATGCTTATGGTCTTCAGCTATGCTCTGCTCTTTATTTCATACGAGCAGTGCTCCACTCAAGAAGATTCGACTTGATACGACACTCGAAGACCCACACCGCGTGGACGGACGGCTGTAGACCATCGACTCGAATTAATCGGCTATGAAGAAGACGAAAACATCAAAACGCTACCCGATTAAACATTGATAGCAACCTCATGTAATCTAAAGATGACTAATCTAAAGAAACGATGAAATAAAGTTTGTAACTCTGTGCAATAACGCGCCATTCATGCACACATGGCACCTAGTTCATTACCCATCTTCAGCTGCACAATGTCCTGCATGCTATCAGTAATTTCTCACGCAGTTCTCATACCTAGATTTATCATGACCACAATGCTCGCTTTTAAATCCATCTACCATCATGGCAGTTGACCGGTGTGTTTTTACCATGTCAAGTCAGACATAACGATGAATGAACCGACCGCGTCTCGTTGACCTTTGTTTTTCGAAGGGAATGATCGTGCACGTATATGGTGGTGGCATCATTGCCCTGCTTGGCAGACATAAATCGGATGAAATCCTTCGAGTTCGGATCGTTCACTTCCTCATCGCTGGCGTTTACCACTTCCCGAACTTCGAGAGATACTTTTGCCTTCTGAAACAAAAAAGTATCAGCTTATGATGGTGTGAACGCGGTGTTTTCACGACTCGCACTTTTCTAGTGCTTCAAAATTTTCTCGCGTAAGTGTACTTTCAAAGTGCTAAAACATATCGTGTAAAGATCTAACAATGCAAGTAAATCATGCGATTAAAAAACGTTTTTCATGTGATGTCAACTCTTCAGTAAGAAGGTATACCACTAGTTTTATACGATGGAAATGATTTTAAATCTAACGTCTGGAGGAAAAGAAACGAGCTCCGTCAGCTCTCACCGTTGGATTTCACGTATCAGTAGCTTAGAATTTCGAAGTGAGTTTCGTCTTTAGTTTCTTCAATGAGCATGTTTTCCTTCCTACTCTCCACCTTTGAGCCGTGGCCCACTCACAGCAATCATGGGAGAACGCATACGCGACGATGTAAGCTCTGCAGGAGTTACACGATGCGAAAATAATGGTCGCTCTCAGATTAATATCAACATCCCTCAGCTCATAGCAAATTTTATTGGTTTCAATAAATAATACTAGAACCTGCAAACCGCTGCCTATGGGATAAACGGTCTCTTCATTTATCTTGATGAAGTGCTGATTCTCTAGAGCCCAACGACCTATATTTCTTTCACTTTTTTCCTTCGAAGCTCACTTTCGAGCCATAAGGCAAATGAACCAGCAGAATTTTGCCCAGCAAGAACGAAGATATCGCTCAATGTAGCGCCCGTGATTGCAGCTTCCACTTTTGCGCTGGGATTCTTAAATCTTAAAAGCTTCATTTTCAACTTATGAAATCCTGATTTTAAACATATTTAAATCTGACTTGGGCATTGTATAAAATTGCATGTACGATTAGCGTGATATAACAAACTTTCTTCTATGAATCTACAAAGCTCTGAACTCCTGAAATACTTTCTTGAGCGAGAAATCATCGCCTGTAGTCGAAAGATCAGCTTCGTCGTGGAAGGTTTAAATGACATTTCACCATTTTTTCAAAGAAAAAAGATCGAAAAAGAAACCGAAGAAAAAGCCTTCGAGTGGAAGAATAAATGAGTGATAGTAAAATCAAGAAAAGATCAGCAATCGCTCACGTAGGCGAACTCAGCTCGTCGTCGCAAGTAGTTCTCAATGGCGACTTTGCTCCGTTTTAACTCTTGTCTCGGGTCGAACAGCTCCGGTTCGACAAATTCGGAATAAAGCTGTAAAGATGAATGTAAAAGGAACGCTTACTTTCACAAAAGGACTAACAAAAAATCTGTACATGAAAAATCCTAGAAAAGTAGAAAAATTAGGAAAAACTAAAAAGGAAAAACGGTGAAGAAGACATTTTGATGTGAAGAAGCTTCGTCATAATGATTCATAATGACGAGGTGGGAAGGAGTTCGAAAGAAATATGAAAAAGAAAAATTTCGTGTTTTACGAAAAATGGAAAACCAGAGAAGTACAAAACAATCATGACTAAAAATTTTCTAGTAGTGTACATCACCTTAATAATTTGGTCGCTCTTTGTTACCCGTTTGAACGTATCCTGAAGATTTTCGCTGAGCACTCGTGCACACTCCTCTATGCTAAAAATGCGAAGAACTCAGTTCACCAGATCTAATCAATAAGTGGAAATCCAAATGATAGGCCATTAATATCATGAGGTATCTAGAGATAAAAAAAAGTTACTAGTTCTAATCGTTTCCTTCGTTTTCGTGCCGGAGTGATTCGCTCTAAGGTGATTTTGTTCCTTCAGTGCTCGAGTGACTTTCTCAAATGTGCTTCATACGGTCGTGATTTTGCAATCCGGATTACATAAGGGCCACTGTTTACAAAACCTTTTGTTTGCGATGTGGTCGGTCCACAGGTGCCCAGTGAGAGTGTCGACACAGTCATTCTCGCTCAGCTGCTCTGCTCTGCCGTCAAGTGTTGACTTACCGGTGAGTGGATAAAGCGGACCTGCACTACTCGTCAACGGCTTACCTGCGATTTGACGGCTACCATAGGATTTGTAGCAAGAACACAATCATTTGACTGACTACCTCATCAACAAGTCGCCAAATCATCTAGCGAGAACGAAGCGCAAAAATTAAGCCGCCGAACATGGACATTTCCGAAAGACCAAACTTAACAGTATTTTTCTTTGACTCGTAGTTCGTGTATTCGCTTAAAAATCCATTTTGCTCCTCTCCTTTCTTTTGTTCTAATTTCTTATAAAACCATATTAGTTCTAGTTCTTATATTACATTACATTGGGGGCGGATAGCACACTAGCAATGATGTCCATCATCACGAGCATGGTGCTAGTTCGATTCCGCCCAAGGCCAACCAAACCTCTCATCCCTCCGATATCGGGAAATCGGTACCGGACTTGTCTGGAAAAAAATCACTCTCTGCAGTCCATTTGGAAACGCTCCGGCTCAGGTTTCAGAACTCTAGGCAGAATTGCTCGACCAGCATTCTACGACATTCTAGGTGAAATGAAAATCCTCAAGCATCAACCAAAGCCACACATAAAGTCGGAAAATCTTCAAGGACAATGGATGCAAGGAAACGAATCGAATGTGAGACGTGTTGAATTCGCGTGGTAGACGTGAAGACGGATCAAATAAAATAAAATGAAATAAAAAGATAAAACAATATTTTATTTTATTTTATTTTATATGGCCCGTCTTCACGTCTACTGTGCGAATCCCAGCACTTCTCACATTTTGATTCATTTCCCCGCATCGATCATCCACAAAGGTCTTCCAAGTTTTTATATATGGCTTCCGCTGCTGCTTCATAATTTCCATTTCGTCTTGAATATCGTAGAATGCAGGTCGAGTCCATAATCACTGAAGATCGAAGACCTGGGACAGCTGGGCTGGAGCATTCAATTGGATTGGAGTTAGCGGTTTTTTTCTGGGCAAGTCGGGCACCAGTTTACCGACTCCGGAGGGAAGACAGCCTTGGTGAGCCGGAAAGGGATTGAACCAGCATCGTGCTCGTCATGATCGGCATCACTATCACTGTGCTACCTGCCCCTTGTAGAACTATATGAAATGGCAATAAACCATTTGCGAAAAACTAGGTGATTAAGTTACCCACCGTGATGAGACCATAAAAGTAAAAACAGCTGCCAGTTACGACCAGAAGGAATCAAAAAAATGTGACCGTCTTCTGCCTGGTCGACAATACAGCGAATAGAGATTCGTTGTCTTCTTTAGCCAACGCCTCAGGACACGGAACTAATGAAGCAGTCAGTGCTCTGTCAAAGAGTTAGTGCTGACTTCAAAAAGAAAAGTGCTCCTACGATGTTCTCGATAATAACAGAATGAAACTAAGTGGCCAACATGAGGTAGGGGAAATCTCTTCAGTGATACTCTGCTCATGTCATGAACAGATTGAATTTGCTTCTATTTTTCTCCACCATGTTATCACCCAGCATTGTCAAAGTATTAATGATATTTTAGCAAAAACGTGAACACCACGTGTTTTTTAAGGCTGACCAAGATAGTTGTTGAAAAAGGGTGACATCGTGATTGATATTGTTGCCACCGCCCTAAGGAACCCATTTAGAGCTCGTCAATCGCTTTACGAAAGCTAAAACACTTCGCAGCAACTGGTATCCTCTTTCTGTAAGACAAGTGCAGATTTCTTTCCACTACCAAGCAGCTATAAAACTAGCCCGAATGTGGTAAGCAACTCAAAGACCATGAAAATAGACACCGTGGGTGGATTGTGGATAAAATTCTGAAAGTTAGATTACAGACCTACTATTAAAACAAGGCATCAGAGCTAACATCCGAGAGATACGGAGTCAGCTGTTGTCCATTACTTGGGAGAATACGAAGGTTTAAAAAAATAGATAAAAGTTGAACTCATCCATCACGATGAATCACAAGCCATCTGGACATTACTGAACCAACAAAGATTTATGAAACCAAACTGTTAACACAGCCATTAATGAGAGAAATGGGGAGCATTCTTCGTTACGATTTCTTTGTTTTGAGGAGAAATGAATAATAGATTTTTACCTTAATATGACAAGAACAACAAAAATATGTTCTGTAGAACACAAACAGACGTACCTTTGCTTGTTAAAGGCGTCGCTAAGAAGGCTGAGGACGGCGACAAGGAGGATGTTGGTGGAGCGCATGGCATCACTGCAACCGACCCGAGTGCCGGTCACTGGGAGTTGGCATCCGAACACTCGACGGTATCGCACGTAGACCACTGAAATCGAACTGATTGAAAAAGCGAAGTAGGTCGACCGATGAACTACGATGAACGAGATGGCGTCGACACTAACCGATCACAAATCTCAAAAGAATGTAAAACGAATCTTTCCATAGGCAGGAGGTGGCAAGATGACAGCAATTCGATTTGCTGTCTCAAAAACGTCAAGGACATTTGAAAAACTTGTGGTGGATTATGAATGAAGTTGTATTAACTCGAAACACTCTGTGGGGATACGTGTAGAGAAGAGAAATGTATTGGTATTCTTCTCAAGTTCTAGAAGATGAATTTTCATTGTTCTTCCCTTGAAAGATAATGGCAACCAGAACGTCATCTATTGAAAGAAAAAAAAAACTTTGAACACTGTCAGTAGAAGAAATGGTATGAGGAAGACGAGTAACACCACTACGAGAAGTGGCAGGTGCAGCTCTTTCTCCACTCCTGTGGTTGCGTTCGATTCCCACAGATCGCCGCATGGATATGACTGACGAAATAAAAACACTCTGGGCATCGTTTCTGTGAGTAAAAACCAGTAAGAACCGTACGAAAAGCAGCTAGAGATGAAACTTTTCAGATGTGTCAATAAGCACATAGGAGAATTTCCAGAATAGCCTGAAGAGGAGAGGCCTGCCATAGACACTAGTAGAACTACTTAGAATATTAGAGCTAAACCTTGAAGAATTACTCCTTACCAGAAGGAAGAAATTTTCGGCTAAATCGATGAAGACAGCAAGATTCTGCAACTCTGAAGCGTTCCAAAAATGCCGACTACAATACACCATAGGTAAATTAAATATGTGTAAACACAAAACGATCGGCTTATATTTCGAAACAATTCTGATAATCTGGCGGAGAATATTGAGGAAGTGAGCAAGGCCCCTAAATGTGAGTTGTTTGAAGGCTCTACAAGTGGCGTTAACATACATCCGAAGGCACACATTGGTTTCAATGCGTATGCCTCGAGCAGTGGGTTTTCAGCTTCAAACCAACAATTTTCCCTGCATAGTGAACTCTTCCAATGAAAATAAAGACCGTTAAAACTTGTAGATTTCTCCTTGCAAGAACCATTGTCCTAGAACGAAGAATTCGGATATTTTGGAGCCCATAAAATGCTGATTTTCGCATTTTCTCACGAAATTTGAATTTCAAACATGAAGAGGAATGAACATGCGTGGTCTCGTCCTGCAGAAAGCGATGGCATGCCACCCTTCCCCTGGCTTGAAATTTTTAGAAAATAAAACTAGTTTCCAAAGTGTCCAGAACGCCAATTATAGACAAATTTAAAATCGCAACAATGCTTTTCAAGACCTGTGTATATTCCTTAAGTCCATGAAAGAAACCTCTTCTATAAATCTGCTAGGATCTCTGGTTCTGAAGTGCTCTTTCTTCTATATTTTACATGACCCATCACCATTTCTACTGTCGGGACATCAGTGTTCTAATGAATGGAAGAGTCGACAGTTATAGAAAAACCAGCTCAGTCGAGAAAGAGTGAAAGTTAAAAATGAAGAAAATGTGGTGAAATGGTCACTACCAAGCCAAGCTTTTAAGCATTTAAAATAAGGAAATGAACGGATATCTAAGAAGTCAATCTTAATTAAGATCGTTTATTGCTGCTGGAGTGATAAAAAGAAGAAATAGAACAAAGCGATGACGCTCGTTTTCAACAATCATGGAAGCTGAGAATAGAAAGAAGACTACTCATAACAGACGGAAACAGCGACTGTCGTCACACGAATGCCTGAAAATTTAGTCGGGCAATAGAGACTTCCATCTGTGATGTTATTTTTATGTAAAAGCTTGGACAATACCAAAAGAACCTTTGAGGAGAAAAACTTGAATGAAACAGTAGATCATGCACGTACTAAAGTTTATTCGGAAATTGCTGCACGTTGTTTCAGAGAAGACCTAGTGGGCCGATTTTCTTGAGGATAAATTTATAGCGAAGAATTACAGTGAATAATGACGAGTTGTTTCGACGGATGATTTGCGAGATGATACGATTGAAAATTAATATCTTTGTAAACATTATTTATCGAAGAGAAAAGTTGGAAGAGGGATGTGCCTAGAGCAACAGAAGACAGTTTCGAAAGTACGTAAGACTTTCGAAAGTCCTGCGATTGTAGGGGATGTAGGCTTTCAGAAGAAGCAGATGAAAACAATACTGGTGCCGGCGGGCGGCGATCGATGTGCGAGAGCGGAGGCTCAGTGAGGCAGGCCACCAGGCCTGCCAACACGGATTACGCCCTGGAATCGCGGAGCAGCAGCGTCCCAGCATCCTCCCGAATGCTCTCGAGTTCCACACGATGGGTGGACAGCCACACTGACGACATGAGAACGCCACTGGCACGACGACTACCGTCCATC